TTTTTTTTAAAGGGGTCCTATTATGCTCTTTTACATAGTCTTGATTTTGTTTTGGGGGTGTACTGGAACAGGCTCTCATACTAGGTTGTTTTTACACATTTTACACATCATAAAAAAAAATTTTCACATATTTTACATTATTACAACACCTCTCTCCCCAGTCTGGCATGAACGGCTTGAATAGTTCCTGTATCAAATGAAGGCCCGCCTTCTGAAATACGAAATGTGCTGTGATTGGTTAGCTGGGCCAGTGTGTGTTGTGATTGGCAGCACTCGGCGCCTGGTTGGGAAATGTCATGCCCCTTACCATAGCCGCCTGCGAGCTTCAGTGTAAATATTGCGTCAAAATCAAATCAATTTGAACACGATTTAAACCCGGATGATTGTAACCACTCCAAGTTCGTCTGCCTTGGGAAAGCTAGCGTGTCTCCGACATAGTGATAATAACACTCGTTGCCTTCACTAGTGCAGCTCAACCAGGTCTAGTCCCATTTGTCGATATTTGTGATATCACAAATCCCGGAAAATATACGTTGTAGTCCAAACGAGTCGTTCGTTGTAGTTTTTGAAAAGTGATTTCTGTTAAATAAAATATCTCCTTTTGAAGTGGACTTTGAACTTTGTAAATTTGCAATTCTTTTTTATGCTCAAACAGCAACATTACAGACTAACTAAAGTTGAAAAAGTGAAAAAGCATAATAGGACCCCTTTAAGACATAAATATTAGTATTGTGATTTTACAGTATTTTTGTTTTTATTTTTATTTCTTGATTTTATTATTTTACGGTATTTATTTTACAGTATTGTTTATTTATTTTATTATTTTGTTTACTATTTTTATTTAATGATATCACATTATATAAAGATAAAAAAATCGTAAATAAAATTTAAAACAAATGCAAAAATTTGTCATAATTGCGTTATTAATAATATTATAATCAATAATACAACAAAAATCATTATTATTGCAATTATGACAATTTATAGTTATACTGAATTGTTCAAAAACAGTGGGGATGTGGCCTATTAAGACTCAACTTTCAAAGACTCCTTTCTTTTTCAAAGATTCAAAGATTTTTTTAAACTGAAATGGTTACTGAAAGAGGTTTGCAGGGGTGTCCAAACTCGGTCCTGGAGGGCCACTGTCCTGCAGAGTTTAGCTCCAACTTGCCTCAACACACCTGTCTGGAAGTGTCTAGTATGCCTAGTAAGTGCTTGATTTGCTGGTACAGGTGTGTTTGATTGGGGTTGGAGCTAAACTCTGCAGGGCACCGGCCCTCCAGGAGCACGATTGGACACCCCTGGGTTAGAGGTTAGTTTTTAAAAAAATGGAAAAAAATTTGTAAACTAAAGTATGATGAACACCCAAATTTTTCAAGTTTTTCCCAAATCTTGCAGTCCTAAAAGGATTTCACACTCAAAAAACATCTTCAGAGTAAACATTTTTTCAGCATTTTTTTTCTATGCAAATGCACTCCCCAACAAAATCACCCTACTAACTGTAGCATGATTCGTTTTTCATAAATATTGCCTTTCAAATACTCTGGTGAAAATGTCTGTATTTTTTCATATTGCAATACAAATACATCACACAAAAAAATGCAATGTCAGTTTTTTCCAATATCATGCAACCCTCTTTCAACTGACAAACACATTTTGCACACACAAAAGGTGATGGTCCCTGTATGCTGCATAAATGCAGGAAACCAAAGATCGTCACTGTCAAGGTCAGCAGCGAAACCAAAAATAAAAACCCTAACAAAAAGGAGACGGACAACCACAGGAACATGGGAGAAGACAAAGCATTGTGGGGGCCTCCATCCCCAGGAACCCCCACCACCCCCACTCCCACCCTCTCCAGCTGGGCCCGTCCCAAGCACTGCCGTGCATTAACACACTTGAGCATAATGTAATTCAATTTCACTCCTCTCCAAAAGCTTCTTTCAGCCGCAGCATGAAAAGGACGGGCATTCCAAGTATTTCCACATCCATGTGCGCATAATAGAAGGGCCTTCATTGTGGCACAAGAACGAGCGGTCAGCACATCAATGAGGAAAATATACAAGATTTCATGCATGTTAATAAACGCTGGTATCTATGCAACAAGTTGACAACAAAAAGAGGCCACTTGAAATTCCTCTTTCCTGCATCTACTGTAGACGGGACGGATCTGTCAGCTCTAACACAAGCCCTCATCTGCGGCCAAAGTGTTTTGGACACGTTGCACATTACGCTGAGAGTGAAGACCTGCTGGAATTTCTTGGCACTGGGACTGAACGACATAATTCGGTAAATATGACCACATTTGATCGGCCGGACCCGAAAATGATGCCTTTGTTCTGGATGACCTACATCTAACGTACGCACTGGAATCTCTCCGCGATTCGAGCCAGATCCCATCCCCCTTGATCATCACATCTACTGACCCACTTGTGTCTAAGAGTGTGAGTAGGAAGGCCTAGCCTGTGTTTCCTGATTCACAGGAAGGCCGGATCAGCAGAATGTCCATAACGATGGTTTTACAAATGTAATCTGGTGCAGTATTTCCAAGCTTGTTTTTTGGTGACTCAGATGTCTGGCATGAAATTGAACGCAGCAAAGTTCTCAGGCGTACAACGGTGCAGATGGTCTGTGTAGGGTTGGATGGGCCAGACCAGCGGTTAATTACAACTTCTGAGAGTCTGCGGTAAGCCGCCTAACTCCAATCATCCTGACTTAAACTTCCCGAATGCATGCGCGGAGGAAGTTCTCATGACGTTAACCCACAATCTGAGAGGCGGTATAAATCCTTTCTCTCTTTTCTCCAAGCCACCTGCTTCAAGGTATAACACCAAAGCTCTGCGTTTGGGGTTTGGCTATCAAAAAAGTCATCAGCAACCGCAGACATACACAAAACACCCCTAAAACGGCAACATCAACCAGACACTAGTATTACCCCAGCTCTCAAATGGTAGAAAATCAAGACATAATATTACCTCGGACAGGTGATCCACCCACCCCATGTACTTGAGCATGAGGGGACATGCCTCTGGGTGGAGTAGATCAGGAGGGTGGGAAAGTGAGTGAGTTCACTGTCAAAGCTAAACCTGATCATGTCTATATGACAAAACCTCGTGTCAAACACTGCCTAGCATATTGAGCTGTAAAAGTCAATAAATAACTTAACTATGGTGCCAGCACTGTAGACATTTTGTAGACATTCCAACACAAACAAATTAATTTGTGATGAGCATAATTACTTTAAAAGTAAACTTCAACAAAGTTTAAATGTAAATAAAAGGTGTCTATAATGACTTGAATAAACAATTAAACAATGGATAAAAAAGGATATTTATTATAAAAGGCTCTGGTATCAGGTACGAAAAATAATATATAGAAAATGTGAGAAAATTATTAAATAAAAATAAATAAAAATAAAATAATTAAATTCATACAAAATAAATCAAATTTTAAAGGGGTCATATGATGCTTTTTTAAAGATCATTATTTTGTGTATTTGGTGTAACACAATATGTTGACATGCTTTAATGTTCGAAAAACACATTATTTTTCAAATACTGTGCATTATTGTAGGTCCTCTATGCCCCGCCTCTCTCAAACGCTTCTTTTCAAAATATAAAATAAATACATTTTAAAATGATATTAAATTAGATAACATTACATAAATAAATAAATGAAGAAATAAATAAAACCAGCGAACCAGAGCTCTATCATGTAAGCCAGTTCAGATCTTTTGTTATGAAGAAATATCAACTTACTTAGGCAAACTTGTCCACTGTTTCACAATACATATGTTCGACTCCGCTGAAATAAACTGAAATAAAAGTTCTCATAAGAATTCATTTAGAGTAAATACTGAGTCTGTAACTCTGTTGTGAACCCGAAGTCTTCATATCTCACGGCTGTTTAGTTAGCCAGGCGGCTAAAAACTTCCTCGGGAAAAGAAAAACTTTGTATCCATTCACTTTCACAGCGAGTAACCGACGGGTTTCAAAGTAACCAATAATTCCCGGCAACTGGCAACAATGTAACTCCTGGTGTTGTTTATATTCCCGACAGAAACTGCTATCGGCGTTCCTTGAGGAGTGGATGTGCTCGGTTACTCCTTCTCCTGTGCTGTCAGTTCCCCATCTGAGCTTCGGTTCCTCTCGAGTGGATGAATCAGCTCACGAACTGGTGCTGCAATAAAAGTGTCTCTTCATAAAATGACCCATATGTGTTCCAATGAACTGATTGGATAGAAAACTTAACTTGAAACCGAAATGCTACTTTATTGTCTTGATTTTATTGTTTTAACTCTTTAGTGGCATGAGGCAAATATATGCAAATATATGCTAAAACTACTTTATATACATTGGCAATATTTTATGGGGAGCAGTTTAGTCCATAAAGTGCTCTTTAATATTAATAGGTTATAAGTGTACAATGTAATTTTGTGTATATTTCGTGTGTGTGTGTTATTTCGGTTTACACACACACCTTAAAAATTTTTGTATTGTAAGCACATGTGTGATTTTACATAATAATAGCCTATGCATATATATATATATATATATATATAAGTTATTTAAAACATATTATGTACAATATAAACAATATAAAGTCCATTAGTTCTGAGAAACGTAACATTTAAAATTTGATATGATATTCACGGACTATCTTTCTATACAAACCAAGCTTTTCAAGACATGTGACAGGTTATGCCTGCTTTGGCATCAATGACATCAAATGTCATTGGTTGTCATGTACCCATGTCATGTTCCCTAATGCCTCACCCTAAATTTTGCTCAAAGAAAAAAAAAAGTTAAAGTTATGGAAATGATGGCAAGTTAGGAGCAAATGATGGCAGCATTTTCAACTTTGTGTTAAAAATAAGATAAAAAATCAGAACACTGTATATTTTAAATATAGATATTGTTTATTGAGTCAACTGTAACAGGCTTTTTCCAAAGCACGACCACAAAAAACATAATACAATAAAGGCACAGAGGAGATGTAAACTTAGTTAACTGTAAACCTAAAGCCCAGACATAAGACAAACTGCACAAGCCAATCATGAATCGGACACCTGTGTACAAGAAGACTCAGTATTAAGTTCTGGAATGTCAATTCTCATTAAGATTTAAGCTGTGTCTCATGGATGTTATCTCATGGGCTTCACATTAATGATAATGCAGAAATGTCATTGGAAGTGACAATTTAAGGAGAGTGTAGAACAACCCACTTTGCGTATGTGCATGTTTGTTTAGTCAGCAATCACGCCCTCTCTAATGAGGTTCAGCTCATAGCACAGGGTCTCGTAGCGGTAGGCCATGCGAATCTGAGCCACGTTGGTTTTGCGGATGTCATTGCCTTCAGGACCGTCCTTCAGGTAGTTAGCACCAAGGAAATGAATCTTTTCCTGTTTGTGTGAGAAAAAAACATTATATTGCGGTATCAAGTCAAGTCACCTTAATTGCTATAGCAATTTATACAACACAGTTTGTGTCAAAGCAGCTTCACAGAGATGGAAACCCAACTAAAGTAGCTAAGGCAATAGTGCCATTTAGATCAAGTCAGGTTAGATTAATAACAGTGTGAAGTTTGAGAGTTCAATTCAGCTGTAAACAGTTGTTCAAAAGGCAGTAATGTTGTTATTCAGTTCGTATCAGTTCAGTGTTGATTCAATTTAATCAGTATAATACTAGTGTTGATGTTGAAAGATGCGACTGGAAAGCAGCTCTACAGAAGATGATAATACTGAATGTACCAGCATTCAGCTTAATTCAGTTCAGTGTGATTATTGAGACTGAAAGTTATAGATTATTAGACATCAAAATTTCAACAAAAACATTGATTAACCCTTTTTAGATGTGTAACACTCTTTTGGAATTAATCATTTGGAATGATTAATTATTAGGTATGGAATCATTATGTTCTTGCTTTGAAGTGTAAAAAGCCCCCAATAATATGTTAGTTAAGTGTTGTTATTGTTAACAATGTCATTTGAAATAAAACTGAAATACAATAAAAATGAATATTTAATGAAATTATGAAATGAAAAACCTGAAATAAAAAAATTAAATAAAAATCAGAAATGTTGCCTTGGCAACTATTTGAAATAAAATATGTTTAAGTTGAAGTAGTAAACTGACCAAAACTAAAACTGATATAAATAAATTAAAGCTAAATATAAATAAATAAATAAATAAATGCAAAAGAACAAAATTACTGAAACTAAAATTAAAATGAAAACTGAAAATATAAAAACAAAGGCTCATTCAAAATGTTAATAAATAAATAAATAAATAATACTTAGAATAACACAGATTACTTTTTATATATATATAGCAATTTTTAATCCGTGTTATTTTAGTATTATTTATTAACATTTTCATTCAAATGAGCTTTAAAGTAAAATTAAAATGAAAACTGAAAATATAAAAAAACCTAACACACACACACCTATATATATATATATATATATACACACACACACACAAACACACACTAA